AGCCTTTAAGGGAGATGAAACCCCAAATGTCCATGCCTACCAAACCCATCAAAACAAAGATGCTGCAAAATCACTGGTACTTCCTACATGCATGGTCTGTGACAGATGTCACTCAATGAAAATCCAACTACCAGTGGATAACTTATTGGATAACAGGATTTTGTTCTGCTCCTGAGAAATTTAAGCAAGAGAAATGGGAGAAGATGGACCGAGTGCAGATGGACCAACTGTCTTATCTGCTAAGTGGTACTGAGGCTGCTGCACATGAATTCTGTCTTAGAGCTGATGGGATTATATCAGTGCTGCCATCCCATGTTCATTCCTTGGGAATTTCTGTTCCCTGCTTAACCTAACACAAGGTCTGGACTGAAGGGCAGAGACAAGGAAATGGCTTGGCTAAACCTGCTGAGATGCTGTGCACTCTGTAAGACACAATTAGCCATTTCAAGTAGACTTTGACTGGCCGGTGTCTGACTGTGGTTTCATGGGACAGTTTTAAAACCAGTGCTGTATAAACACTGATAGCTCAGAGCTGCTTCATTTGCCCTCCAGGCTGTGTGCAGTGGCAGGGTGGCCTGGAGGGAGATACCACCTCTTCCACCATCTCGCCTGTTTTGTTCAGCACCAGTGGAGAAAGAGGAAAAACAAATCCATGCTGGGTACCTGGGTGAGCTTTGGTCCAGCCTGACCCCTTATTGGTGATGAAGCTGGGGCTGGACCCTCAACACCAGCACAAGGGTCTGGAGGGGACCCCACACCTCCTTGAGTGCTGGAGACCTCACCTCGACACCTTCAGTCACCTCCCCAAGCACAGACATGGTGAGTGTGAAAAGCACAACAGGAAACCTCTGCACTAACCCTTCCCCTCTGAGGGGTAGCACGTGTGCTCTTTGTTTTAAGGTATTTTTTCCCCCATATCTCCTTTCTGCCCATTTGTGGCACCTTTGACAGACTCTGAATGCTGGCAGGGATCGCAGGAGATAAGAACGATGAGGTGATAAGAGTGTTTAACAGCACTAGGTCCTGGGCAGCACGATGGGCCAGAGGGAAGATAAATATTTACACTACATCTTTAGAAGGTGAGTGAATAAAAAGGGCCAGAATAATACAGACTCTGAACAAGCACCGATGCTTAGGAGCTGTAATATAAATCTCTGCAGCCTCACGACACACACTCACTCAAGCCAGGGAGATGAAAAATAGCAAGAAAATACTTCCCTCCTCCTTTAAAAAGGGTTTTATTTCTCATTTGTTTCTACTTTAGACTTCAACTTCCCAACAATTTACTTTAACCTCATCATTATCTTATTCTCTCTCTGAAATTTTCTCTCCAAGAAGACTGAGGGTAAGGCTACAGCTCAACACACCAGAATTTACTAATGCTAATCCCCACCAATACTAAAACCAGGCAATGGGGGCAAATATAACCAGTCTGAACTCCAGCAGATGATTCAGCAGAAGACATCCCCATGTGCATCCTTGCTCCCAACTCCAAGGCAGCTCAGGCACTCCCCAGGGACCAACACCATGGGACAAAGGATGCAGAGCAACCTCTGCTAGAAGCAAAACCAAAAAGCATGCACTGGTCATGAACAGCTGGTTTTTTTAGGGATTGCAAATAACCCAAGCTGACAAGTGCAGGGCATCCTCTTAAGTTTGGCTCCTCAATTAACTCTCCCACCTCCCCTGTGTGTGCACACAGGTTTGGCAGGCTTTCTCACTGAGCTGTCCCTCTCCAAGAGCTCTCAGCTCTCTCCTCTGCTCATTCCTCCCATTCTGACCATTTCCTGCACTGTGCCAGGCAGATATCCCCCAGGATGGAAGGTGCTAGACTGGTTTTTATCATCACCTCTTGGGCCCTTCTCCAGAGCCTGCTGCCAGGCTATCATTTGGCCTATCTTCTAAGTGCCTCACAGATAAATTAGATCTGCATAGAGAAGCAATTATTACATTTCTAATGGCATGAACCCTTACAGCACAATCTGCTACTGAAAGGCAAAGAAAATTGCATTAGCTTTTGTTTGATTCAAAATTATGATCAAGGGAAGAGGGATGTTGAAGCCCTTTAAAGCCCAGCCTCTGAGCTGGGGATTTTTCTGTCTGGGGACCTCCCTGCTCATACTCACTGCTGGAGCTCATACTCGTGGTTCATTTAGGAGTACTAATTTGGAGAAGCCTCCACTTATAAAGCTGCAGTTAAAAGCAGATCTAAGAAAGCTCAGAGAGAAGAGGATGCCCAGGAAGCACCACTGGCTCCCTCCTGAAGCCTGCATCTGCTAAAGCTCCCAAACACCCCCAGCCCGAGGAGTTCAGTGTGCCAGGGTTATGCTAATCCCTCATCGCCCTAGTTTCTAACTGGTGCTGTACCTAAATTTCCAAGTGCAATTTCAGTGGGATTTATCACATCTACTATGATCAGCATGTAGTGCTGCTGGCACAGATACAGGCTCTCAATATCCCACCACAGACATGGCTGTCATTAATTGCAGAACAAACTGATTTCTGAACCTATGCAGCAGCTCATGCAGCAACACTGAAACTCTCAGGGATGTTTTGCTGTTGAGCATTTTTAACCCATTTTGCAGCTGGCACTCTCTGCCCAGCTGTGTATTTGGACATATTTATAGGTTATATTTGCTACTGCCTGTTACTTTCAGCACCAGGCATCTTGCTGCTCATCAAACAAGTGTTGGTGCAATAGAAAAACTGCCAGGAAGCTGCAGGGATCAAAAACGTGTTTGGAGAAGTCAATGCCTAAAGCTGTAACAAGTGTCACAGTGCTGTGGCTGAGCCAGCTCCTGGCAAACCATGCAAATGCCATCCCCAGCTATGGACAGGATGATATTCCAAAGGGCAGGATGCTAAAATCCTCTTCCCAGGGTGCTTCCCTGCCCCCTCCCTGCATAAAAGTTAGTGCTCCTGTACTGCTTTATCACTTTAGCATGGCTGAGGCAGATACCTGCTTATTTAAGGGGCAGGATAAATGGGCTGAGACAGCTTTCCCATCCCCAATTCACTAGGGAACGCTTGGAAATTCCACCTGACACCGGGACTGCTCTGTGCTCTTAAACAATCTCCCGTCTGATCCGATTGTTCCCCAGTGGGGAGGCAGGCTGCAGCTAGCTCAAGAGTCATTGATTGGATTAACAGCCTAATTCCCAACAGATGAATAGAATACTGATGTCTTGTCAGCCCACATCATAGAAGGAAAACACAATCTGCTTCTACAGCCCCGAAATTTAACCCTTTGCTTCCCTGCTCCCCCCTCCCCGGGGCTGGATGCAGGGTCCAGCACTTTCAGCTAGAGATCCTACCTATTTGAATGAGAAAAAATTTATTAACCTTTGAGACACTTTGCCTAATCATTGACATGGCACAGTATTTTCTGTAAGAAACCCTCTTTTTCACCCTTTCCACACACAAGAGATTCATAGCAGGGACCTTTATTATTTTTTCTCCTTTCTTTTCCACCTGCCAATACAGGGAATGCTGTATGCTTCACAGTAAGCTGCTGAAAATTCATCAGCTCAGTGATACTTCTCCTGAAATATACAGATATTGAACGTTTTCTGAGTCTATCATTTGATCAGCAGGATGGATCTGCCTGGAAAGGAACATCCAGCTGTGCTGCAGGAGAGGCATCCCTGCAACGCCCTCTCCCTCCAACAGCTCTTGGCAAGCTGTGGGGCAGGGGAATGAAGCTGGGCACATCATTTGCTCTTGGAGAGCTTCTGTTCTCCACCTCCTAATGGAGACACTAATGTTTTCTTACCTCATAGAAAGACTGTGATAAGAAATTAATTGCTACTGGTCAAATGTTCACTACCACAGAAGCAGGACTGTGTGCATATTAAAGAGATTCTCCAAGAACAAAATTTATTTATGGAGTCGTTGGCACTGTCTGCATTTATTTCCTTGTTCAGGAGACAAGAATAAATAAAAATCATCTGATTTCAAGGAATTAATTCAAAATTACCCTATTTTTTTTTCTCAGATTCCTGGGATCCATAATGCTGTGGGGGGTTTTTTTGCTTCCAACACTCACCTTTTATGCTTGTATTTACAAAAAAGGGAGGTATATGAGGGTGTTACTGTGAGGGTGGGGAGCCCCTGGCACAGCTTTCCTAGAGAAGCTGGGGCTGCCCCATGCCTGGAAGTGTTCAAGGCTAGGCTGGACAGGGCTCTGAGCAACCTGGTCTGGGGGGAGGTGTCCTTGCCCATAGCTGGGGGTTGGATCTGTGTAGCCTTTAAGGACTATTCCAACCCAAACCATTCTAAGATTCTATATACTTTTGAAGTTTGCAAGGTGTGCATCACCCAAGATAAGCCAGGTTGTGCTGTGAAGCAGAAACAAGGTATTTCCAGTTTTTTTTGGGTTTTACAGCTCACGTGCAGAGTGGAAACGCTCCCTCCATCACTCCTTAACTCTAACAGACTAATTAGCCCAGCACTAACATGACTAACAGGAGAGAAAGCATGAAAGGATGGAAGTGCACGCCCTTTTTTTCTCCCTTCTATAACCAGCAGCTCCTAGTCATGACAGTTTTCTAGGCTACAGGGTCTCATAACATTATTGTACATATAATAAACTTACTAGGAGACTGAATAAAAGAAAAAGTCCTTCCCTCTCCTGGCTTCAAGTCCATCAACCTTACAGATACTCCTGTCTTCAGAGAGACAGCGTGTCACAGTGTGCTCACAACATGGGCAGTGGGGAGGCATTAATGACAGAGCTGCCCGAACCAAAATAATTAGCCAGAGATGCCTCATAGATTCAAACAATTCAATTAATGCCCTATTAGTATTTTAAAGTGGTTCAAATTATTAGCTCTTTTTTACAATTTGAAATCATAATGTTTAATTTTCATCCCAGATGTGAATTGTTCCAGAATGGTAATAAATAGATAAATAAATAAATCCAAGGAGCCCTGTCCATGGGTGCGTTGTACATTCATGAATCCAGGTTAAGGATGGGGACTGGGGCAGTTGTGCCCTGGAACTAGCAGACTGCAGGTTTTATAAATACATACAGAAATAATTAAAATCTAAGGGGTTTAGAAGGGTTAATCTCCTTTAAATAATCTCTGCCACAAAGCCTGTAAAGTCACTGCTGGCACGATGCCCGCGTGGGACCGGCTGTCGGTATCAGGACAGCACGTGTGGATGGGAGCAGGGAGATTAGGGGGCAGAGGTGGCCCAGCAGTGCTGCTGCCCCACAGATGGCTGCTCCAGGCACTGCAAACCTGCAGGAGCAGGGCTGGATCCAGCCCCAGCCAGCAAGTCAACATGCCACTTGCTCCACCTGATTGAAGAGAGAGAAGGATGCTTGATTAGGGAGAGCATTGCTGCCACTGCTTGGCTCACCTCAGTCCCTGCTGACTGCAAGGCAAATGCTGGCTGATATTTATTTAAAGGGATTCAGGGCTTTGGAAGTAACCCCTTTTCCTCTGCAGGCTTGAACCTAAAGCCCTGCATGATGGAAGAGATGTTGCACTTTTAATTGTCAACTATAATGGCTCAGAGCTGCCACTCTGCCTTTCCAAATGTCCCTTTTTCATTTAAAGCCAGCAACTGAGTGACCAAGAGAGAAAAAAATCCAGAAGAAAGCAAAGAAACCACCACTGTGTGGGCTAAAGCAGTGCCTGTCCCAAACCCACAGGTTAGATTCCCTTGATTTGGGCAAAGGCAGGCCCAGCTGAAATGCCCAGGAATGCCATGGCAGAGCTGGAGCACTGTCACAGAGGTTGTGTCATGAGGAAAGGCACGGTTGCAATAAAAGCCAAGTCACAATGTGCTGCAGGAGGAGGAGAGGTGCTGCTAACAGCCCAGGGAGCTTTTTCTCCTTCAGGTCAGTGAGGATAAAGACTTTGGAGACTCTTTTGGTGCCATAAACCTTCCTTGGCTTGGTGTGCAAAATCAGCACTTTCCACGATGAGACATTCTGAAGCATCCTCTGAACTCATTAGATGAGATCTGGATTTTATTAAGCCAAGCTTGAGAAAGCCTGGGCTAGCAGGCAAGCTGAATTCTAGCGGCACACAGCCCGCAGCATGAAAAGCACATTTTTTTCTCTCCTCCTTTAGTGCCAGGAACCTTGCTCAGATATCTCAAAGCACCTGAGGATAGTGCTGTGCCCTGCAGCCTCCAGACAGCCTTTCCTTCCCAAGCAGGCCTGTTCCTTAAGGATGATGACTCCTCTTTGTGGCTAATCTGGAATTAGAGAGGACGTTAGCACACTCACAGCCGTCTGGAGAGGGGGAAGGCATCAGAGGCTGGATCCTGCCCCGCAGTGGAGCACTGCCAGGGAGAAGCCAACTGCATGTGTTGACTTAAGAAGCTCCCATCTCATCACCTCAAAGGGTTGCTGTTTTTGTGACCTCCAGCAGCCTTTTAGCAGCCTCTGCGAATTGTATTAGTAGCTGATTTACCATTTGTTATTTTATAAGGTATGAAGCTGCTCTTTTATTTGCTCATGCACCACCAAGTACAACTACATGTCAGACTGAAAACTCGGTCTGTGATCACTGGGGCTGTTTCCTGATGGAAGAAAGGAGGAATAAATAGTGAGGGAAAAGGCTTATTGGTACTGCTTATTCACAGCCAGTCAGGTTTCCAAATAGCTATTAATGAGGTGCTACTACTAAAGAAAGGAAAAGGAAAAATGTCTGGAGAAAACTGCCTCAGGACATCAAACTCTATCAGTAACTGGGATTTCTCCACGGAGACACAGTGCTATTAAAATACAGCTGAACTAAGTACTTGCAGTTTGGTCTGTCATTAGGTATTTAGTGAGATGCAAAATTGATCTTCACTTTAAAGGGCTCTTTCAAAGTCTAGAGGCAACACTTGCTCTCTCCTTGTGCTGTATAATAGAGATGTTCCTAATGAAATTCTGCAGGAACTGGAGACAACCAGGGAAAACCTCAGCCAACTTTATAACAGACAGATTTATGTTCAGGGGTGTCCTGCTCTTGGAATGAGTTATTCTGCAAAGGGCAGGGATAACAGGTTCCCCATTCATGGCTTGTACAAGCGTGGCAGAAGGTCAAGTTCCCTGGTGGTGCTGGGTGTGTGCTGAGGGCTGGGGCTGCTGTCACATCTGGGGCTGGGCTGAGCAGCCCCATCCCATTTCCCACTAAAGCAGCCCAGGGAGCCCCCTGGGACCAGCTGGGCCTAGAACTGGGCCCAGGCCATGGGAGCAGATGGCAGGGGCTGGTGGTGGCAGCTGATGTGGGGCAGTGCTGAACCATGACCTAGAGGTGAAAGGCTCCATATCTCCCATTATCAATCCCCAGAGCCTCCTCTGGAGTAAGTGTTGATACATTAATCTTTCTGACTGATGGAAACAAACATGGCACAGGGGAATCTTTATTTATATTGAGCCCAAATCACACTTAAAAACATAAAGTTAAGGGCCGGCTTAGGTTTCAGCCTTCCATCAGAAACATTCCTAGTTAATGCCACCCTTTTCCCCTTCCACCAAATTTAAAGAGCACGTCATCACGCATTAGTCTGAGCACAGCCCCAGTGTGGATGGCTGCAGTAAATAATAAACTGGTGTTAGGGTTTCCTGCTGTGCATGCTGTCCTCCTAAACAGTTTAATAGAAAAGGAGTATATTTCCAAGCACTGCTGGAGTGCCTCAATGAAGCATGTGGTGTAGGATAAATACCTCCACATCAGGACACTTTTCAAAGCCATCAGGCAGAGGGGTCAGTCTGTTGTGGGTTTTTTTAAAACTGCACAAGCTAATGCTTTAAGAGTGTCTTGATGGAATCAGGGAAATTGGATTGTCCCCCCATTTGCTGGCCTAAAACAAGCCTTTTTTTATTTATCCCATTAGAGGAACACAAGAGAAACCTTTTAAATGTCACTAAAATTTTCCCCGCATTGCAAAACCCAGTCAAAAGGGTTTTAATTTTCCCTGAGACCTCTTAAGTAATGCAGTATGTCAAGATTTAATACCTTGTGTGCAGGGGATTGTCTGCATTCTGTGCTGTTTCACCAGGGTGACTCCATAGGGTCGGTCCTGGTCACTGGATTTGGTCCCTGTCAGCACTGAGCTGCTCAAACAGCCCACACCACTTGAGATCAGGTCTGCTGAACAAATAGGCAAGTGAAAACAAGATGAGGTGCAGCTTTCCCTGGACCAGTCTGGGACTACAAAAATTCAGCAGTGCTGCTCACTCTCCAGTGACTTTGTTCTGTGAGTTGGGACTCTCAGGTTTTGGAAAAGCCTGTCATTTTTAGGCTTTATTCACTTATTTATAGGAGACCCAGGGAGAATTGTCAAGAGCGTGCTTTTGTACATCAGGCTTCACATTCCCCTGGCATATCTAAGGAGACAAACAGGGCAATATCACAAGCAGAGCCCAGGACTGTAAACTGATTAAAGATGCACAATTAAAGCACACTGGCTAAAGATGGCAACAGGACCATAACACCTTTGAAGGCTGGGCTGGTGCCCGTTCCAACCTTGCTGTCCCAAGGGCTGAGGGCATTAATGCCAAAACAGCTTCTCAGAGCCCCTTGGTGCTCATGCCACTTTTCAGCCAGTCTGGGAGCTATGGGTGATCTGATCCCCCAAAGTAACATTTGCTACCAAAATACACCATTATTTTGCTCCTGTGGGACATGGGAGTTCTCTATCCACGCTGTCCATGTTTCTTTTTGCAGATAGTGAACATGTCACACCACAGTGAAAGAGGACCTGCGATGGCAAATCGTTTTAGGCTGACTGGGTAATTCTCCCCAAGACTGGTTTTGCAGAGAAAAGAGGAAATGAAGGGGAATGAGCATTCAAGCTGGGGTGTGTAAGCCTCCAGTCTCTTGTTCCAGAATTCACGAGGTGCACTGAGAGCTGGGAAGGGTGCAGAGCCCAGGAAATCAAGCAAGAGGAGGCACATCCCAGCCTCTCAAACAGTCCCAATAAAACCCAGCCCTGAGACCAAGACACTGCCTACTGATCTTCCCTGTAGGGCTTCATAATCTATTTTACAAAATGTCAAAATCCAGCACGAAAATTGGAAAAAGGGGGTAGGAAAAAAAGAAAAAAAAAATCAGACCGGCTGGTTATTGGACCAGGGGCTGTGTTAAAAGGATCAGGAGGTGGTGGGCCAAGCAGTGGGGGAGGGAATGGGATAAAGCAGTGGGTCTAATCAAATCAGTTTAAAAAGCTGCAGCCTCTCCGAGTTAACCTTGCCAATCAGGGAGGCAGCGGGAGCATGTCTGCGCACACTAAAGCGGGAGCGCGTCCTTGAACCCACGCTGCGCGTCCTCCGCAGCCCGGCCACCCGCAGCAGCAAAGCCCAGCGCCAGGCTCCCTCCTTGGGCTTGTTCAAGGGGAAACCAGCACTGACAGGCAGTGGGAAGCTTCCCTTCCCTCCTCGGCCTGGCTTGAGGGGAAACCAGCACTGCACAGGCAGTCTGAGGCTTCCCTTCCCTCCTCGGCCTTGCTCAAGGGAAACCAGCACTGCACAGGCAGTCGGAGGCTTCCCTTCCCTCCTCGGCCTCGCTCATGAGGAAACCAGCACTGCACAGGCAGTGGGAGGCTTCCCTTCCCTCCTTAGGCTTGCTCAAGGGAAACCAGCACTGCACAGGCAGTGGGAGGCTTCCCTTCCCTCCTCAGCCTTGCTCAAGGGAAACCAGCACTGCACAGGCAGCTCGGAGGTTTCCCTGCCATTAGAGGTGACCCCACAGGATTAAGCCAGCAAGAGTTGGAGAAATGTTAAAAACCAAACAAACCAAAAAACGGGGAACAAAAGGAGGAGCCCTCCCATTGACAAATGCTGTTGCATTGAGCCTGGCAGCTGTGTGAGGCATTACAAGCCTTTGCTAATGACTAAGGGCACTGAAGTCACTTTAAAATAAATATTCACTAGGAATTACAAGGGTAATCTAAAGGGATTATCCTGCTGCCTTAACAGGTCCATAACCTAAACATTAAATGGTCTACACAAGTGTTTGCATTAATTTTGACCCAAATCAACCCTTCTGCTAAAAGCTTTGGAAAGCCAGATTAAATTTTGGAAACCACAGATCTGCTCTGGGTTAGGGTTCTTAGAAATTCCTCCAGATCCTCTGTTTTCTGAAGACAAACCAGGGCTGAGCTCTTGGAAGCCAGGAGCCTGCCAGCAGCCAGGGAGAGGCGTCAGCAGAAACACACACTCAGAACATGAAGCAGCAAGCACAAATCCAGCCTGCCACACAATCCAGTCCCTGTGGTAAAAGTATCTGTGTTCAGAGTCTTGGCTCCAGCCTGTCTTCCCTGGGGAGACAGGGAATGCCCAGCACGGGGAGAAGGAGCTCTGCTGTAGAGAATGGGACAAGCCCTGTGCCTCGGTTTCCCCACCTGTAAAATGTCATGTGCCTTCCAGCTGGGGCACTTGTCCTGTGCCTCAAACTCTTGGAGGGTAATTTCAGCTGCCTCAGGGCTGTGTGTTTGAGTGAGGCTCAGCAGTTTGTTCTTAGGGAGGTCAGGAAAGAAGAATTGAGGCCAGAGAGGCTGAATGATGAGCTGAGAGCAGCTCCTGTGCACCAGGTAAAGTTCCTGAGAATAACTTCATTGTCTGTGCCTGAAAAAGTTCAGCCTAAAAACACACAGATCCCTTAAAGCCACCATTCACAATGCCTGAATTGCATTTGAATCCAAAGGCCCTATGAAACAAAAAGAGGGAATAAATAAAAATACATCAATGCTTCCTTCCAGCAGGCATTTCAGACCCAGGTCTGGATAAAGGACTCAGGGTCTTCCTCATTTCCCAGTCTTGTAGAAAATTAGGAAAGTGAGAGACATGAACAGGATGTTTGAAGCACAACAATATGCTACACCAATGGACTCGAAGTGCTTGGGGTCCTTCTGGGTCCTCTGTACAACATAATATAAAGAAGAATCCAACATAATGGGAAGGTGGCAGGGAAAACAGTCCAGAAAAAGTTCAAATTTTAAAAAGCTCATTCTTACTGATGAAGGGAAGAAAAACATGTGCAACTTTAATATTTTCTAAAGACTTTTTTCAGAAGTTCCTGCCTGTTTTGTTTTTTTTTTAGGTTAAAAAAAAGCCACAAACCCATGAAAATCTAACCTAGTAAAACCTAATTTCACAGGAAATCTTCTTTTAGAGCCTTGGCAATACAAGTGGAAGTGCTGCCTGAAGGCAGTGCAGAAGTTCCTGTCTTTTTTTTTTAGGTTAGAAAAAGCCACAAAACCATGAAAATCTAATCTAATTTCACAGGAGATCTTTTTTAGAGCCTTGGCAATACAAGTGGAAGTGCTGCCTGAAGGCAGTGTGGAAGAATGCTCTAACAGCAGCATTTTAAACTCAAATGCCAGGCAAACAGTAAGAGCAGGTGAAGCCACTTTTACACATCCTCAAATGAAAAATAGTCCCACTAAATGAGATTTTCCCCTCTGAAATACATATTTTTATGAATTCCTGAATATATGCTTGAAAAAAAATTAACAGATAAAAACAACTTCTGTCTTTAAAGAAGATGAATTCTCCCCCTTACCTTTTATGTCAACAAATAGCCTCAACGTTTTCTTTATGTGCCATGAACACGTGATAAAGGGGAGTAGATCAACATCCTCCTCACTGAGGAGACCTGGAGCCTTTAACAGGGATCCAGAGTACCTGCAGAGCATTGCAGGCTTAAAATGGGCAGGAATCACATTCAGGTGTCTGTGAACAGGGAACACCTGGTTAGTGCTGCAGCCACCAGGGATGTGAGTGGAAGGGGAGGTGTTTTAGCAGTCAGTCACTTCTGCTGCAGCTTTCCTCAAATCAACAAGAAGGCTCCCAGCCACGTTAAATATGGATATTCAACTATCAGCTGATTCTAGAAAAGCTCCATCAGAAAGCCATCAATCAGTCCAGGAAAACTCACCCTAACTGGTGACATCCTGTTCATGTCACAAAGCCTACCAGGACCTAAAGCAGACTGGAAATGATGGCTCAGGAGCTTCAGTTTGTACTGAATGCAGCAGCCCTGAACCTAATTTCATCTACCAAGAGTTTATGCAAGTAAAGCCCTTCTGTGGGCTGCATCAATGTCTGCTGCCTAATGAATACTTAACCTGGATCTACAAATGCCCTGATCACTGTATTTCTCTGGGCTGATACAGGCAGCAAGGTTGAGAAAAGCTGGGCAATATCTGGAAACAAAGTTTTATTTTTGTTTCTTCCCAGCATATCCAAGGTTTCCTAAGGAAAATGGGTGATTATGGACTTCGACTACCATCCCTCAGGAAACATTTTCTACAGAACTTTAAGTCCTGTATCCAGAACTTGTAGTTCCCACACTCCTTTTGCTATTCTATTAATTGTTCTGCAAAACTTCCCCCACGTCTCGTGACCCTGCGAAGGGAGAAGTCCCCAAGTCCCTGTGATTTTTATGCAGTTGTAGCTCTCATTGGAGCAACTGTGCAACAGCATAAAATTCAAAGATAGACAGCTTCCCTGGGTGGCTTTTCACACCTTGAGTGCTCAGGAGACAATACCCTTCTCTGAGAGGAGGCACAGTACTGGGGAGAGATGGTACATATTAATTTCTAAAAGAGGATTTTAATCATGCAACGTCCTCTGCAGTCGCACAGAATTTAATCTCATTGCTGACAGTGGGTGATGGGGGAGCATGTTAAGTGGAAAAGTTGTATTCAAGACCTCCTTGCAGATATGTGCTACAGGCAGTCCCTTGGGAGGAGGAAAATGACCCAAACCTGTCTCTGTGGCTGCTGACCACCCTGGCCTGGGCCCCATCCACTCACAGAGCAGAAATGCAGGCACACTCCCAAAGTTCTGCACAAGGTTCAAGTACACGTGGTAATACAGTTAGCATTTATCAAGCCTTACTTTACAAATATTGATTTATTAATCTAGGCAAGACCCAGGGATATACACACATAGCATTCCCATGTTGGTTACAGAGACTGAGACACACAAAAAAGCCCCACTGTCTGACTTGCTCAAGGTCAAACGAGGAAAAGCACCCACAGGCAGGATTAGTTTTGGGATGCTGAGCTCCCAGCACTGTGCTCTGTCAGGACACACTGTCCTTCTCCACACTAAGTTTTCCCTCTTTTAAGATATGGCTTCACCTAAATCTACACTGAAGGACACTCTTACTTTCACTTGGTGATATGGGAAGCAAATATTGAAGTTGAAAACCATAAACTGAGAACTCAGATTCTCCCAAGCCACCATGGCTGGGCTAGCACCTGCTTTTGCACAGTTACCTTCAGGCTTCTTCCTCCTCTGCTTGCAGGCAGCTTAACCACTCTTGGGCAATGAAACAATTAAATGTCAAAGACAAAAAAAATCCCAAAATAATCCATATAATTTGTTTCACCGGTTTTTAATGGGCCCTTGAAGTTTGTACTTGGAATCATGAAACAATTATTTTTTAGAAGCTTCCATGAGAGCAAAGAATGTTGGTGACAATCAGTGCCTAGGACGGGTGAAATCCAATGCTTTTTTACCTCTCTAAAATAAAAAATACTTCTCTAATAGATTCAAAGTTAGGACACCCCAAATGACACCCAACAGAATACAACTCCATAAAATCTATACATTTAGTGAAAAAGGAGCAGACATCTGACAGCTACTTTCTAAAGCAAGTCAAACCACTGACCAGGTAAGTCACCCTAAGCACCCTTTTGAGGTATTAGACTAGCTTTGGACTCTTCATGGATAAAAATTAAGTATGAGACAACAACAAATGGCTTTAAAATGCTGAGGAATTGGAAAGAATGACCATACACTTTTGTATACAACAGCCTTTTCTGTATATGGGAGAACTGTATAAAGTTTTATTTATTATTTATCATCTGAGTGATAAATACAGACTAAATCTGAAGGAATGGCTTTTAGAAGACAAGGAATGAGGAGAATCCTGCAGAACCCTGCAGGAAAATCATGGTAAGGCTCAAGGCACAGTGCTCTGTGATTTATGCTGCTGCAGGCACGGGATGTTCTGTCCACTCCCAGCTGGCCTGGAACACGGGAAGCCTTGCTGCTCAGCCAAAGTCCAGCCCAAAGTCTCAGGGCAGACAACAGACAGCATGAAAAAAGAGAATACAACTTTATCCAACACTGAATGCTTAATGACAGAATCAAGGCCTTTCTCCAGTTGCTCCTCGCTTTTCCTCCTGAAATCCATTATTTTTGTTAACAAAACCTGAGGAAAGTTGACTACTCTGAATGTGCCAGACATGGTCTCCTTTAAGTAGTGTGTAATTAATAAATACAAAGAAAATTCTATTTAGTTTTTCCTTTCAAAACCAAACACACCACACTTATGATGCAATTTTAATATATTTTTAAGAAGCATTTTTAAATTTCCTTGTAAAGTTTTTTTTAAATTAAATTCTAATTCCACTCAGATGTACCTGAGCACAAGACAAAACAAAAACCTAATAGTCTAACAGAGAAGATATGTCTCATTTGCTGTTTTCTATCCTGATTCAAATGTAAAAATTAAGAATGTTAATAGACTAGGTTAAACTACATAATTAAGCAAACATGGGCAGCCATTGTGTACCTGATTAGCAAATGAAGAATTAAATTTACTATAAAGGTTATATTTAGCTGCAAATGAACACATTTTAATGACTACTAACCAATGAAAATCAACCTTTCCTTAGAAAAATAAGCAAGAACTAGATATAAATTGATTATTAAATCAATTAAGTCAATCTTAACCTGTCAGAATCTCCCTCATTAGAGTCACTGCTGGATGCAGAGCTGCTGCTCTTGGGATAGCCACCCAGAAAAACACAAAATGATGCAGTGCCAAAGGTACAGTCACACACAGCACCTTCCCAGCACATCCAGCCCAAATTACCTCAGGCTCCCAAACTAAACATATCCACTAATGCATGGAGCCCATTAATTTGTCAAATTTTCCACTATTAAACTAACACAAAAAAAAGTGGGGCCCTGTGAGAGCCTGAACCATTTTGAGAATCTGGTGAAGCCCAACTGACTTTTTATTTCTTAGAAAAAAAATAAAAAATAAAAATTGTGTTTAAATGTAAAGCAACTGGTTGCAGCATTGTGGGATTAGTTGGATGAATCCTTCTGTGCATATAATCAGCTTAATGGCAACAAAGATCACAGTGCAGTTAGTGCAGCTGTGACACTCAGAGCATTTCACCAAAGGGGAAGGTTTGCACCAGGTTGGAACAGCCCCTTTTTATTTCCAGCCTCTTTTATTCCCAGCCTCTTTCCCTCTCTCTCTCACTCTCTGCAGTCAACATCCCATCAGCTCCATTAGCATGAGAGAATTAAGGAGGGAAATGGGTAGGGTGGAGCAATTTACGTCTGTGGGTCAGCGTGCTTACACAGCGTCATATAATTCAATTAAATGGACAAATAAAGTGGTGCTAGTTGTTTTCCAAACTCAGGTTAATTTTAACTTAATTCCCACACTGCTGTGGGCCAAAGGGCTGTCTGAGGCTGCCTTACACACAGCTAAATGGCCAGCTGTCTGTTATGGAACAGACATGCTTTCAAGAGCATCCTTACTCTCAGGATATTCTTAGTATCCTTATCTTCCCACAAAAAACCTGAACTTCAGACTAAAACTGAGGACTTGATTTCCCTAATTACAGCTCAATTAGCACTGGCAAATTAACTGCTTTATATTATACCTTCTCTCACTGTTAAATGGCAAAAACACCCCCAAACAGTAGAACATAATAGATGTGAGATTTCAGCCTATCCTGTAAGAAATTAAGAAATGCTGTTTTCTAGACTTCTTAAATTAAGACTTCCATAATTTAATCCACCGATCTACCTAGCACAGACTGTATTAACACTTACAAAAAAGAAACAACTGAATCCTAATTTATTAGCCACTAACTATTCTCTTTATGGGTTTTGCTACCTCCAGGAAAATCCTCTGAGATGCAGGTGAATGCACTAATGACTGAAAACCACTGAGGATAAATACAGAAGACCTACAAATCTATAATATGGAGAAAACTGATGGATATCAGTTTGCTGAGCAGGAACACCTTAGGAACAAGCTGTAGAGCTTGCTAAGGTTCTTCCCTCTCACCTGGTACCACTCAGACCTGTGCAGCTGCACTGTGGAACCAGACCTGTGAAGGAGAATTAATTTCCATTTGCAGAATAAAGACCTGTTTGAGCACCACAATGTTTTGAAGCCCTTAAAATAAATCAGTGCTTGAAGATCCACTGCACTTTCCATAAATAATGCAAGCGTTCCTCCTCTGCCTCGGCCAAAATTTCCTGTCTCCAAAACGTCAGTGCAACACCCCGCTGTCAACCTCCCCACCAGGAATACTTGCACTTCAGCACTTCTGCATGGATATAATTTGTAAAGTGCTAGGCAAACAAGCACACTCTGAATTGGGAAATGTTCTTGACAGACTACCTGGCACGAAGCTTTCAAGCCCACCAGGAACGTCGGGAGGCCAGAGCCGCACGTGTCAAGTCCATCACCTTAGGAGGCTTTCAAAGTTTTGCTTTTTGTGATGCTACAAAATGCACCTCCAGAGCCATTATATGAATTAGTTGGAAAGGGGTAGGGGGGAAGGAGGAGTAGCTAAGAACAGCAATCCACCCCATAAGGACATTTAGAAGCATCT